GATTGACGTTTACTGGAAATCTCCCTCGATTTCCAGTAAACGTCAATCAATGCAACCCCCATAATTGGAACGAAACCACTATTTCGCCCTGTGGCTGTGGAATCCGTTCTGGGACGGGAGTGAGATAGAATTCTCTGTTCTTGCATGACTAAATTTAGCCAGTTTTCCAAGGACACTTCGGAGTAATTCAGCGTCAGGTCAAGCACACAGTAGCGCTCAAAAGATTGGAAACATTTATTTTTGATCTAGCGCAACCAGTAAACAACGACATTTTCTCAAATTCACACATTATCACCAAAATCAAGTGTAGATTCGAGATGCATATGTTCCTAAAATTGGGAATCACCTTGTAAAACAAGATCGACAAAAATCGACAAATCGACACACCAATTTAGTGGTTTGTGAAATAGAAAGATTTGAGGCTATTTCTCTGAATCCGCAACGAACTGGGCTACATGAGCCGGAGTAAGGGATCATTAGAACAGGGGGCAGCACAGAGTAGACAAGTGTGATTGTGGCTAGAGGTAAAAATAGAGCTTGGGTTGTAGCGCCATAGAGTTGCTGTTGCCACTCATTGTGGTGTGCAATTTAGGGCCGTGGCAAGGGAAACCATGGCAAAGGTAAAGGTAGAGGCAGTGCAAGGCGCAGTGGTGAGGCCAAAACCGATGAAAAATCGCGCTAGCGACACCAAGGCACTAAACACTAGAAGCAGAAGTATGAGCACAACTACCCTCCTTATTGCAGTTACGAATTCGACAACAGAGGAACCTACGAATTCGACAACGGAGGAAGCCAACGAATTCGACAACGGAGGAGCCAACGAATTCGACAACGGAAGGACCAGATCTTTCCTCTACCAGCACACTGTTGACTACTACGGTGAAAGAACCTACGACCACGGTCATCCTGCCAACGTTGACCACGGAAGTACCTACAACCTCCAGTACAGTACTAACTTCAACGGAGGTAGAACCTACGACCACCACTACAGCAACGACTCCGATCACAACAGAACCTCCCAGTACCGCAGCGGAGCAAACAACGACGACCGCGCTGCCTACAACAACTTCTGCGGAGCCGACGTCAACACCAGCACCGACGCTACTGACGACAGGTATAAATTTGCTTTGTAATGGGTGCGAGTTTGATGCTTTTGCTCGCGACAGGTTTGCAATCGCATAGTGTGCTCAAGAGATAACTCTCTTCTGCTGCTTCACATGAATGCTGGGTTATGCGCCTCAGACTGAGCTCGAACCCATACC